TTGTTCTTGTTCCTCCATTTTATCATCTTTGTTACTTTGTTCTTGTTCCTCCATTTTATCATCTTTGTTACTTTGTTCTTGTTCCTCCATTTTATCAGCTTTGTTACTTTGTTCTTGTTCCTCTCCTGAATTAACATCATTCTCTTTTTCTTGTTCATCCATTTTATCAGCTTCATTCTCCTTTTCTTGTTTCTCCGCTGTATCAGCTTTATTCTCCTTTTCTTGTTTCTCCGCTGTATCAGCTTCATTCACCTTTTCTTGTTTCTCCACTGTATCAGCTTCATTCTCCTTTTCTTGTTTCTCTGTCGTATCAGCTTCATTCACCTCTTCTTGTTTCTCTGCTGTACCAGCATCATTCTCTTTTTCTTGTTTTTCTAATATATCAGCATCATTATCACTATCTTCAGGTGGTGGTGGAAAGTATAAAGGCAATAATCCCTCGTATATTCTTCTATTACTTTCCTCAAAAACACAAAAGATTATTCTATCAATCTATTAAAACAATATCTAGCTCAGTTAATTTTTATCCTAGTTTCAAAAAAAAAAAAGTTCATTAAATTCTGAATTATTATTTATACCTTTTCAATATGTTCAAAATTCTCCATCCATTTTCTAATTGTTTTCATAGCCACTTGTGCAGCACCAACACGAGGATATCCATAAACACCTAATACAATATTTAATAAAATTTCTTATAAATATGACTCAACTTTATTAAATAAAACATTAAAAACTTGTAGCAACTTAACAAACCTGTGCTTATATTTGAAAATGCCTAAATTTTAAATCATATACATATATTGTATTATTAGTAGATTGAATAGTATGGAGAATGATGGTGATTTTAAACTTACTATACTCTTAAGGTTGTTGTCAATCATAACTTCCAATGATCGTCTATAAGCACTATTGAGAAGTTCTTCGTGTTCTCCTACAGGCCCAACAGTATGAATAATATCTAAATAATTAAGCATTAAATTAGTAGAATAATTAAATAGGAAGCATAGAATAACTTCAGAATTTCAGTTATTTTCAATCTAAATAACTACACATACATTTTGCTGGTAAATCATAACCTAAAGATACATGTGTGTGTAAGATAAGATGAATTATCCTATAAATATATATATATATATATATATATATATATCAATTAATCATTTATTTACCTTTTGTTATTTTAGCATCCTATTAATTATTAATTATCATTTAAAATGTTAATAATTTCTAAACCTTATAAATACTTTTAATATTAAACATTTAAATCTTACATACACCAGTTGGACAACCTCCTAACTCCCGACATTCACCCCTTAATCCTGGCCCTGCAGCTCTAAATTTTCATCTCTTATTTGAGAAAACGCTTTAATGATAACATAAAGTTTTTAAAAATAAATATTATAATTGAGTGTTCACCTGTGAATCGCCCCATCAACTAAAAAAATTTATTATTCATTTAATCAGTCAGTGCCTTGGAAAGATATTCATATATTTAATTATGATGAATTTTCCCAATCCCTTACCTCCTCCTCCTCCCATAAGAAACTCATTTGCAGCATTAACTATTCATATATTGTAAAGTTATTAAAAAAATTTTTAAAAGTCATCAGTGAGCTCTTTACATACCAATTTTAAACACAAAGTGTAAAATATTCTTTATAATGTTGTTCAGATAATGTTAATAACAATTAATATGTTATCAATTAAATCAATAAACATAGATATATGGTCATATTTCCTAATCACTAACCAATTGAGTCAATTTTCAATTTCGTAATGTCTTCTTTGCTTTTATATATAAAAAATTTTTTTTTAAAGTATAAATACAAAAGCTTGATAAGTTTTCTTTATAGGATTTTTATTATTATCAATTGACTTACATTAAAGATATCTTATCATTAAAAGTTTTATTGTGAGAAAAACTTATATCATCTGAAATATAATGTACATTATTTTTTTTTTATTAAAGAAAAAGATAATTATTCCACAATAATATAAAAAAAAATTTTTTCACGTTTAAATCTTTCTGGGATCCGATAATCAAATCCACCTTTTTTATATACTTGAGACAAGGTTGGGATGTCTGTTAATTCCACAAAACGATCTGACATTGTAAATGTTTTTTTTCAACTAAAAAAGGTTTAAGACTTGTTAAAAATCGTGGGATGGATAGATTCTTTCTCGATATCTCGATATATACAGGAGGAACATTTTTTTTTTTTTAAAATGGTAATTTTATAGGGATCGACTTAATTGGTGAAACATGCTACAGATACGAAATATCTTTGGTGATATCAACAAACTCACCTGCGATGTCACAAAGAACATCGAAAATAATTCTGTCTGTAATTGGTCTTTAAAAATTAAATTTCATGTAAATTGATAGATCTTGACGACATTTGAGATTTTTTGGATTGTTTTGAGTTTAACATATTTTAAAGTGATGTATAAATTAAAAATCGGAATACAGTACAAGTCACCTAATTTCTTGTAGATCCCTCAACTCCTCCATGTAAGACCAAAAAAACAAATCATAGTTTTGAAGCTAAGACAATTTTATGATTTCATTATGTTGATATCATGGAGGAATTAAGGCTTAATTGATGGTCCGTCGATCAACGATAGAAATTTAATTATTATTATTATTATTAAAATTTAGGAGATCACGAAATCCAAAATTGTCCATTATTTTTTTTTAAAGAAAAAAACCATTTCTCACGAAAATATATTAAAAAAACATTTTCTTTTTTTTTTTAAGGAAATATATTAAAAAAAAACATTTCTCGCATTTTTTTTTAAGAAATATAATAATAAATTATTATTTTAATAATGACCACTTCAGTCCAATTATTATCTGCTGGTATCATAGACTTTGATTTACATCATGGAATCCATGCAAAAGATTGGTGGTGGAAAACTCCCCAAAAAAGTGAATAAAAGTGATATTTGTTTTTATCATCCAATTTGCATTGGAATGAAAACACAATTTTTCTTAAATGGTAAAAAGTATATATTTCATATTGTAAAATGTTACAAAGATAATGAATTTTGTCCAGGATATTGTTGTCAATGTAAAGAACTTTCAAGTGAAGTTGAAAAAAATCCAACCGATGCTGTATCCAAGTTGTATCAAAATATTAACCCTAATTCAACAAGAAGAATATCTGGAGCTGAGGTTTTAGGATTTGAATTGGATAAAGTTGTTCAAGAGTTGTTATTAAATATTGAATTTAGACCATATTCAATTCAAATAGAAAATAATATCAACTTATTTATTTGTGGCCTAAGGAGTTCAAATAACAATGCATTATGTGGAGCTGGGAATGGTTATGTATCTACTTTTAATTGTACTTATAGGATGTCCATTATGCTTTTTTCATTTCAGTATAGGTTTTGGACTAAAGCCATTGATCCTAAATTTGACAAAAATAATATTTTTTTATATAAATCTGGTTTTTTAAATGCATACCCATCTTACAATAGCAAAGAAACCTTTTGGAGTTGTTTCAAGCAAAGTCTTGATGAGAATAAAAGAGGGTTAGGTGGAAAGCAGAGGATATTATCCATTATTGCAAATGATTTTTCATATGACACGTTACAAAAAAATTTACAAGTAAGGATCTATGGTTGGCTCAGTCTAAAGACCTCCTACTACTGCGTCACGTACTCAATTTCAAAAATGCAATAAATTTTTTTAAAAAATTATTTTCCTTACTGCCAAATTTAGATATGATGGTCGAGTATTAGTCTAAATTTCGTAACGATGATCAAAAAAACTAGTCTAAATTTAGCAATGATCATAGCGCTCAAATTTCTCATGAGCATAGTAAAGTACATGTTTTAAAAAAGGATAGAACTCTACAACAAATAATTTTTTTGAGAAAATCTCTTTATTACATTAAAACTAAATACATATTCTATCAACTAATAGACCTATTTTTTTAAAAGATAGGACAGAAAATGACTTCTATACTTTTAAAATTTTAGGAGGTCTTTAGACTGAGCCAACTATATAATTAATAATTAATATTTATATGCACAAGCCAATGAACTTTTATTAGGTTTCACCTAATTCTATATCAGGAGCTAAAAGGTTTTCTCAAATTTATGGGCCTTTAGAAAAACCAGTTTATACATGAAAAACCAAGATTACTGAAGAGATAAAATCACAATTTGATGCATTTTTTTCAGACAAAGCCAATGTTTCTATGAGCTCTTATAAGGTTGATCCTAAAACCGAATTACCAATATTATATTTGCAAGATCAGAAGATTTCTTTATGGAAAAAATACTCAGAAACATATCTGAATGGAATGTCAAGGTCATCATTCATGCTTCAATCTTCAATTACAAAATGGTAGGTATAAATATAGAGATGGCTTAGGTGGACTCTGTTCAATTTGTGCTGATTATGGATATAGCGTGTCTGAAGATTTAAATAAAGTTGTAATAAAATATGTGAATGATAGTGGCATGCAGGTAATTGTTTATAATATTGTTTTATAATATTAATTATGCTATTTCATTTTCTATTACTTATATCATCACATATCATAGAAAGAGTTTTCAGAAGAAATTCAACTAATTAGAAGGCATATGAAAAAAAGATTATGAAAATGAAATAAGGAATATTATTAATAATGGACAATTAAAGCATGATAAATGCCTTGATCATTGTTTACTACATGCTTTTTGTGAATGTAATAATGAGCATAATTTAAGATGCATGAATTGTTTAAAATTTGAAAACTTACAGACAAAAATTGTACTATTATTTGGCACATCAAACAAGAAAGGTGTATTAAATACCCAATTTAGATCTAATTTATTAGAATTGGATAATAATGGTGCTATAATAATTGTGGATTATAAAATGAGGATATTACCAAAGACAGCTCAAGAGACCAAAACTGAATTTTTTGGAGGACATTACATTCAGTTTTAATGTATACCAGACTTGAAGATCAAGAAGATTACAATATAGCTGCATATGATCACTGATCTGATGATACAAAACAATATACATGGTTTACAGCATCTTCTTTAAGTGCAGTTTTTGAAACAATGTTAGAAAAACCAAAATGTATAACAATTATTTCTGATAATGGGCCCCATTATCATAATTCAGAAATGATGGTGAGTTTGTCATATTGGAAGATTGGTATGATATTACAATTCGTAAATGGATTTTTCTTGAAGCTGATGAAGCTAAAACTACAATTGATTCTCATCATGCTCAGGTAAATCTTTTATAAATTATTTTATTATTTTAATTAATTAATTAATTTCAACGTTTATAGATTGCATATTCGATTAAAAGATATGCTAGATTAGGATGTAATGTTACAGAAGGTAGTGATATTGAAAAAGCAATCAATTTAAAAGGCACTTCAGTGGCAAACTTGGTACCAAATAGAGAAAAAAACAAAGGAAAAATAAATACAATAGCTGGTATATCCAATTGGTTTGAATGGAAATAGCCAACAGAAGGTCAATATGCTGGTTATATTAGAGCTAGATCTTTACCTAACACGGGTGAATGGAAAAAATTTTCTCCAGTGCAAATTCAAAAATTTTTAAAAGTAGAAGTAATTAAACTTCATCCACAAATTTCTATTCCAACCAAATCAAATATACCCTGGACTTCTTCAATCCCTAAAAATATAGGTAATTGTTTGTAGAAATTATTTAAATTAGTTCTTTACAATTTATTTGAAAATGAATTTTTTATTAGAGGCTAATAAATCAAAAACCAGTAATACAATGGTTCAACCAAGCCAAATATTGTGAGTCATTTAAATCCATAAATTATTGTTATTTAGAACTAAATTGAAAATTAACAAAATATAATTTTAAATAGTATTTTTGATAGTACTAATTTGAAAGTATTTGAAAATGTTACGGATATTCGAATAAGAATCGAATATCATTTCCATAAAATTACGAATATTCGAATATGGAGTTAGAGATACGAATAGGAACACTACATCACAACAACAATCTAATATGGCTCTTCCATATTATACAACACAACCTAACAATATAAATAGTAAGTGAATTGAATAATTGTAAAAACTTTTTTTAATTGGCACAGAAATCTAACACATTGTCAAATTGTATTGAGTTTTATTTTCTATTCACCAACTTTATTCCCCCAACTAATAATAATTGATAGTAATATGAATGAATGCCTCTTGTGATAATCTTGCGAATATTGATATCAACAATCCTGCGATCAATTCCTATTCTTATATTTCTTATCCACTGACTGGTGTATTAAGTGATGATCTACCATTCGATGTATCGAAGGATTTGTGGGATATCCCAGAATTGGCGAATCTATTGTTTTTAGAATCAATAATCAAGCTAGTGATGATAATTGGGTTGAGATTTTGATAAAAATTCAGCATTACAATATGGGGTATGGACAATAGAAACACAACCAACGTCAAAATCACGATTTTGAGAAAATCAAAAAAAAAAGATTTTTGCCCCAAAATTTAATTAATATTTAGAAAATTATTGTTATTATTATAATATTTAATGGCTGTGTTCGGGAGTGGATTACGCCTTAAATCCAATCCTGTTCACTAGGATAATTCCTGAAATTAGGATTATATTATTCTTACTTTAAAATTCTGATCTTACATTTTTTGTTGATTATAACAAGGATTTATTTATATTTCGTACTTTTTTTAAAATAATAATAAATATGGACATTACTGACCTCGTGATAGTGAATCCATTTGTGATGTATCTTGTTGATTACTGCCTATTTAGTATGATCTATTTATAATTTCTCAAACTTTATTAAGTAAAATGGCATGGTTTCTAAACTGCAATTAATCCTTGCAGTGAATTGCATATAAGGATGTTATTAACTCAAATTTGTCCCGGGGACTCTATTGTCTATGATTCGATGTCATATGTTGATGTTGGATTAGTGGAAGGATTATTTTTGCCAAATATTAAAATATGAAAATTATTTTATTTTATATTATATTAGAGGGATTTTCTTGTTTTTTTTTTTTAACATGTTTTACTGTAAAATTTTTTTATTTTACTATCATTTCTCATTTACAACAGAATATAATATAATTGATTTTATTTCTCAATTAAATAAACAATCAATCATCGACTGTTCTTTTCTTATTATAGACAGACCTAATACATATAAGCATGAATTTTTTTGATAACCTTTAATTATTTTACACTTTTACAAAGATTACAAACAACACCGTTAAAACTAAGATCCCGCCCAGAACAGCAATTGGCAAATAAGGTTTATTTTCTTGTGCTCTTGTCAATGGACTATTTCCATCACATACTGCACATGTATAATCTAAAATTTTTTTTTGTAAAAAAAAAAAAGAAATTAATTAATTAATAGACCTCTCTCTTCCCAACCCAAATATTTATTCCCCCAAACTAAAAGAAAATCCTTCCCCCCAAAAAGAAAAAGCCCTCACCAGCTAAATTAACTTTTGGCTTTGGAGTATACAACTGAAAACGTGAACCAACAAAAGGTTCTAGTTGTCCAACAGAGGAATTAATTGGCGATGGACCTCTTTCATCCCATATATATAAAAGATAAGCTCCTGCTGGTGGTGTTGGATTTGTTTGTAGGGATGTATCCCATACAATAGAAGTTGTCTCAGGCGGAAGATTTGTCCCAATTGAGAAATTAAAAATTCTCTTGTCGGCGTCAATATTTTTTATAGTATAAACATTTAAAGCTTTTGGTGCATATGCTGGATCAAAATTTGCAGTATATGTCCAATTGAACTGATATTTTTTTCCTATTTTAAATATTAACGGAATAATTGTTGGAAAAGTAACTTTTACTCTTACTGATTGATCACTGGCTGAAGGCAAGGCAGGATTTTGTGGTACGGTGACATTTGTTGTAGTTTGCGTTGGTGTTGTTGGTGTTGGTGCAACTTTTGGATCTTGTGGTTGTTGTGGTGGTTGTGGTTCTGAAGGAAAAGAAGGATATATGTGTATTTTTTAAAATAATTTATCATCAATCAATCAATAATAATATACTTTTTTTTTATTTACCTCTTTTATATATTACTTCTCCGATTGAAATTTGAAATAGTGAGCATGATATCAAGATATACAAAATTATTAATGTGATTGAATTTTGTTTCATTTTTTTTTGTATGAAGAACGAGCAAAGCCCATTTTTTTTTTATTTAAAAATTATCGTGCCTCGTTACACGAAAGATTAATAGCTACTATTAATACCACACGCACCTTGTTAGAATAGGAATCAAAGTTGATTGGTGTAACAAAATTATCCATTTTAGGATAAAAAAAAATTCACGAATGCTAAATCGATCCCAGACTGTCGGTCCAGAATCACGTCGGATCGAGTATTTTTAGCCAACATATTAAACGTTTATATTATGATCTATTTTCAATAAAATTGTAAAATGAAAAAGTTCATAGATAAACAAGTTTATGTTGTGTTAAAAATAAAATGATAAGGGTGTGTTTTTTATATTTGAAATGGCAACTCCGTATTTATTTTTACATTGATAATAAATGATCTGCGAATTAAATAATATTGACTTGGTTTTAACAATTTGACAATTTATTTAAAAGCTTATTCGATAAAACAAATGAATAAAGAAAATCTGTCTTTACATTATAATAAGAATTTCTATTTTTATCCAACAATAATGATAAGGTGAAGATCATTTATTTCTCAAGTTAATACTATTCTATATATAGTCAACACTTTTGTATTGGTTAATTAATGAAAATTAGTTAAATACTAGCGTGTAACCTTATTTAATTAGATTTTGTGTATCGAGAATAAAGATTTCGTGGGCCTGTTGGAAAACGGAAACGTAAGGTTTAGTTCTATGGAGCATATCCTGAAGTTCCGTCAGTACAGTAGGATTTAGTTGGGGCATCACATTCAACCTGTTTTGAAGTTCATTTTCAGTGTCGTAGAAGTGAATTTGTGCAAAATGTGGTTGTGTACTGTCATTTGACGGGAGAAGAGATCCAATATTGTGATACATCTTTCCATGTATATACGAAGGCTGTAATAGTAATATCACACATAAGCGGGTTTTAGTAACGAAATCACAAAACCACAAAATAGCATCAATTAACGCAATGATACATGTATGATATATATATATATAGCTTTAGTACCTGCGGTTTGCGCATCAATGTGAGCACCTATAGACGTAAATGGTAAAGCTGAATTGTATGCTTGAATCTTTTCTCGAAATTGACGTGAGCGTGTGTTAGATCCAAAAAGAAGAGAGTACAACGGTTCGGGAGGATCCAAGAGGGGAGGGAGTTGCACTCTACTATTAGAGCAGTAAATAGTAAATTTTGAGTTAGTGAGGGATGAGTCGCTCTTCCTTTCGTCCACCCATATTAATGCCCTGCAGTCAGTACAAACTTTCTCCATCCTCCCAATGGAATGACGCAAATCTGGTATTATGTAGGGGTGTCAATGCTTTCTTACTGCTCGTTGTAGCATTTATGGGAACATAAATCCTTAAATGTTTCATTCACTAATTTAGTTTTCTTGCTTAAATTTTCAACTAATTTTTAATCCTTAATTTTCAACATGTACATGTTCAAATGTTCTAATTTTTAATTTTTAATTCAATTTTTTTCTTGTTTCGTCACGCAGGCATCAAACGGTTTATTTGTTTTTTAATTTTTTCTTTCAGATTTCCAACGTTTATATGGTCAAACGTTCCATTAAATTTTAAATTTTTGTTGTCATGTATGCGTCAATGTATACGTCAGAATGCATTATTTTTATCATTCACTAATTTAATTTTCTTGCTTAAATTTTCAACTAATTTTTAATTCTTAATTTTCAACATGTATATTTTCAACATTTACATGTTCAAATGTTCTATCTAATTTTTAATTTTTAATACAATTTTTTTTTGTTTCGTTACGCATACGTCAAACGTTTTATTTGAAAAGGGGTATAAGAAATACGTTAATTCCGTATGTATATTTTTAAAAACATATTTAACATACGTTAATTCCGTATTTTATTTTTCATAGAGTTGTATTGATGTTAATGCTGATGATGATGATGTATCAGGTGTTGATGTTAATGCTATTGATGATGTATTTGATGTTGATGTTGATGCTGATGTTGATGGTAACACTTAATTAAAAAAAATCCAAAAGAAATGAAAAGTTGTTCATTAATCACTAATAACCATTAATTAAAATACTTACCCTTTCATTATTATGTTCATCATTATCATCATAATTAACATCAAAATCATTATTAACATCTACATCAGCATTATATCTCACTCTTTTATTACTACTATATTCAGTTGCAGCGTTAAATGATACTGGCATATCATTTGGTCCCTCATGCCATTTTCCTTTTGTAAACTCATAGAAATTACATGCCTCTTCACAAATGAATATGTGCATACCTAAAATTAAAAAATTGAAATTAGTGTGTATTTATTCACTATGTATAATATCTACCCCAATTTAGATTTTTTATCACATGTACAAAACAAAAATTGCTAGAATTGAAAATTCTTTGTAGCCACTCTTCAATATCTGATCTGTTAATACCAATTATATGCCCTTTCATAAACACGGATTGGTCAGGCTTTCCATAACAGTCATTTCTTATAGGTTGAATAGAATCTACATCTATAATTTCGCGAAGCAAACTAAAATAAGTAAAAAAAAAAAAAACCTCCACAAGGAAAAAAAAATTCATACGTTTCCACAAAGAGTGAAAAACGAGAAACACTTCCACAAAGGAAGGGCGTAAAAAAACGAGAAGCACTTCCACAAAGGAAGTGTGTAAAAAAACGAGAAACACTTCCACGAAGGAAGTGTGTAAAAAAACGAGAAACACTTTCCACGAAGGAAGGGTGTCAAAAACGAGAAACACTTCCACGAAGGAAGTGTGTAAAAAAACGAGAAACACTTCCACGAAGGAAGGGTGTAAAAAAAACGAGAAGCACTTCCACGAAGGAAGGGTGTAAAAAAACGAGAAACACTTCCACGAAGGAAGGGTGTCAAAAACGAGAAACACTTCCACAAAGGAAGGATGTAAAAAAACGAGAAACACTTCCACAAAGGAAGGGTGTCAAAAACGAGAAGCACTTCCACGAAGGAAGGGTGTCAAAAACGAGAAGCACTTCCACGAAGGAAGGGTGTAAAAAAAACGAGAAACACTTCCACGAAGGAAGGGTATAAAAAAACGAGAAACACTTCCACGAAGGAAGGGTGTCAAAAAACGAGAAACACTTCCACGAAGGAAGGGTGTCAAAAACGAGAAACGCTTCCACGAAGGAAGGGTGTAAAAAAACGAGAAACACTTCCACGAAGGAAGGGTGTCAAAAACGATAAACACTTTCATAAAGGAAGTGTGTAAAAAAACGAGAAACACTTCCACAAAGGAAGGGTGTCAAAAACGAGAAGCACTTCCATAAAGGAAGGGTGATTGATTATTAAATTGATGTAACAGGTGTAACAAGTAAAAATTTTATTTACATACATCAACAAAAAAATCTAAATCTTGTTAATGTCACGTGTGATCAACATTTTAAATTCGTGTAATTCCGGTCGCGTTTACTTCGTCGACAATCATTTCGTCGACACCCATTTCGTCGAAAATTATTTCATCCTCGAGCCAGAGACCGAACGAGTTAGATGTGAGGAGTGTGGGAAGTTAGTTAAAAAATTAGGTGGGGAAAGCAGTGTGTGTGGGAAGTGTGAGGAGAAATTTGTTTAATGAAGTTTTTTTTTGTGACGAAATAATTTTCGACGAAATGAATATTCGACGAAATGGGTGTCGACGAAATGAATCAGACCCAATTTTAACCATTCAGTAACAAAAGGGATAATATTCATATTAATTCCGTGTATATATAATTATTTATATTTTTCCATATATTTTTCATTATTTTTAATTTCTTTCTTTTTCTTTTTATCACCCAGCTTTGATATCATCGTTTCTGATTACTGGATTGGCCAGTAAATGTAATCTTTTAAAGGTTTTAAAATCATTAAATTGTTATTGGTTAATACCAAATTGTTAATATTTGGGCAGAAATTCAGATAGTTGTGAATCAATTCAATTATTGACTAGCAACAACAAATTCGTAAGAATGGATGAAAAAATCTTTTTAATATACTTTATCTTTGAAGAAATCCAAAATGTCATATCCATTGGATTAGAGTCTTTGATTTGTTAAGAAAAATTAACTAATGATTTTATTATTGCAATTAATATGATGTTAAATGAATGTAAGATTTAATTTATTTGTATATTCTTTGTTTAATACATGTATATTTTGAAGGATGAAACTAATCAATATTAATATTAATTGAGCATAGCTTAAAACTAATTGGTGCCTGAACATTGGAAGAAAAATTTAATGGAAGGAAGCAAGAGTAAGTCAATCAGTCCTCTTATTTTTTGCATTCTTTTTTTGTTTTAATTAATGAGATTATTATTTTTATCTTGGATCTTTTATTTAATTTATTAACATATATGTCACATGTCACGAGTACCACGTTATAATTGAGGGTTGGATATAATAATAAGTTCATTTGTATCAGAAATGAAACTTACCTACCAATGACAATACACTAGAAGGAATTCTTTTTGCTGAAGGTATTACAGATCCGTCACAAACATCAATAGAACCAAAAAACCTCACACCAAGATGGGAAAAAGTCAATTGAGGTTGCAAAAAAGTTTTTAGAATAAAGTGATTTTGCTATTAGTGAAGATATTAAGTATATTAATAATATAATAAAACGTTTAAATGTATCTACAGATAGAAAAAAAGTCAATCTTCAATAAAAAATAAATTTTCAATAAATTATCACATGATGGATTTTAGTTATATCCCAAAAAAAAGGGGAATATAAACGAATTATGACTGTAGATTTGTTTTTCAAAAAAAAATGGCACCTAAAAGAATCCAGATCAGAAAAAATAAAGAAAAAAATAAAGAACAAAATGAGTAGTGTTTATCATAAGAATGGTGGTGGTTGTTGTCACTCTAGTTTTACTATGGAAATAATATACCAATACTGAATTTTTAACAAAACAATTTCTAGACAGTGCCAATGAAAGCATACCAAAACATTTGGCAAAGGTTAGTACTGTGATTGAATCTGCCAAGAATTTATTTGTTTTAATCTTACAAATTTAATTCTAGGAAACATCCAAATATGGTCCCAACAGTCCTTTTATTGTATCTGATAATGATAATGATGGTGATAAATCATATTGTCCTAATTCAAATGAATCAAGTGATGGTTCATACATTGAATTGAGGCCCAAATTTATTTATGAATGGTTTATTGGACCAGGAATAAAAGAATCTTTATTATGTAATGATGCAAAGAAGGTAATATCTTAATTTTTATTTAAGTTTAATTTTTCTTTATATACACAGTGGGTTGTTAATGAATTGGATGTTTCAGGTTTATTGATGGAGTATCATGATATATGTCTGTTAAAAAAGCTTCTGAGAACAAGATCAAGGAGGTTGCTGAAATACTGTATGTATGAAATTTCTACAATGATTTATTAATGATCAATAATTTTGATTGAAAACTTTTTAATTTGAAACTCTTTTAGATTAAGCTTCCACATACAATGGATGTATATTTTTAAATATTTTGATGAGCATATTATACCAAAGAATGAAGAAAGCCAATTTGGAAGAAAATATTCTCACTTGCTGTGAAAATAAATAAAAAATAAATTAACTTCCACGATATGTTGTGTAAGAAAATGGGCTTATTAATAAAGGGATATGATAATGTTGATTAGGATCTTTAATTTCAAAAATAACCTATAATAAATAAATAATTAATTAAATTAATTAATTTATTACAATTTAATATTATTATTTGAAAAATTTTGAAGTATTTACTTGTACATAAGGATAAAATGAAATCTGTCCCAATTCTTGAAAATATGCAGAAGTATAAAATGTTATACGATAAATTGCTGACTCATTATCACCGTTGAATGTAATTTTGTAATCTGAAGAAACAAGATTTTGACACCTTCCATCATTATCTGATTCACTATTTATGCAAGGAAAAATTTTTTTCAGATAATTATTGTTTTAACTCAAATAAATAAATAAAATATACTTTACGTTTCTCCAATTATTGTCCAATTTTCTTTATCTTGAAACTCTTTGAATTCAAGTTTTACTTTAACATTATTTGCAGGCTTCCCACGTGAAGAATCAAGAATATGACAAGTTATGGGACCACGCTTTGCTGACATTTTTTTCTTAAAGTAAGTTATTATTTGAACACGTACTGCGGCATATATAATTGTAACGTAACAACATCAGATTTTGTGTGACTTTGACTTTTAATTTAAGAGAACGTTCGCTCTTTTGAAGTTTTACTCTAATAGGAGTTTTTTAGATTCTGATAATACTTAGATGATCTACACTGTATAAAACAGTTAAACTTAACAACAAAAACCTAACACTTAAAAACAAATTTTTTAAACATATAGAATTTCAATTACTTATATGCTATTAAATCAATTCACTTTATGCAACTTTTGACCATTTCTATGACTAAAGATTCTTTTATCTGTTGTTGATTTTGGAACTTTGATCTATCGTTGCGTGAAGGTGACTTTGTCTACTTTAGCAACTTTTTTCATCTTAATTGTCTCTTATACTATTTTAAAAATCATTGAACTAAAATTGATAACAATGTAATAAAATAAATCAAAGATATAAAATAAATAGTCAATATGTGACAAATCACGCTCGGTAACACGTGCATCATGCACATGATGAAAATCAAAGTTAGCCCTGATCGCTCGCAATCTCTATCTGAAAAAAAAAGAGGGAAAAGTATACCATCACGAGATATTAATTGCCATAATCTAAAACGAGTAGATTATGTTGGATCTTCAAGAAAAATTTATATGAGGAGGTTGAATTTTTCTAGAATCAATTTCCAAATTTGGAAATCTCCTTGACTGTATCCACACATTATCTTGATTGTGTAATGTTTATGATTATAATGTATGCGTATAAGTAGAAATAGAGATAAAGCATTCATTACAAAATCATTAAATCATGACCACATTATCTGTTATATATTGATGATGACTAAATCCGAAACGAAATCCTTGATAATGCGGTTTACTCCATATGTAAAATATTCATAATTTATTTATATACAATGTATATTTTATACATTATTTGTAAGTAAACTAACTAATAAATAAATTAATTAATGAAAAAATCTATTTTCCAATACATAATCAATTGCTGGTCTATCATCAACCATAAAATTAAGCATTCTAATAATTAGAACATTTATAATATCATTATTTATTTCTCTGGAAATTTTTTCCTTAATCTTGTCCAACTTAACAAGTAAAAGATTATTTGTTGTTGTTGCGTAAAACAACTTTTTTGTAACAAGATAATAGAGTAGACAACCTAATGAATAAATATCAATAGCATAGTGTGATATTGAATCAGAATTTAAATTTAATACTAATTCAGGTGCACTAAATCCTAAAGCAAATGGCAAATTATTATTATGTTGATGTTGATGACGTTGGTGACATTGATGATTGTTATTGGTTGTTGTGGCTAATGGTTGTGTGTTTAATAATGAAGAAGAGATTGTTGGAATGTCTACGATGGGAGATCCAACTGTACAAGAGTATTTAAAATCTGACAGCTTAATCTTCCAGGGTTTATCATTATCCTTGCAAAAAATATTTGAAGGATTTAAATTCATGTGCTGAAAATAAACAATTGGATAAATTAACTAATTGAATAATTATAAATTATAATAATAATTGGAAGAATGTACTTACAACAATTCCATTTTTATGCAAGAATTGAACGCCTTTACAAATATTCAAGAATAATTCTCTGATAAATTTTAAAGTGTTAAATTTGCCAATGCTAAGATCTAAACTTTTGCCAAAGTATTCCGTAATAATAATATATTCATTACTAATACTACTCCTATTATTATTATTGATTATTAATGTGTCTTGAAATTTTAGAATATATGTAAAAGAACTGTTTAATTTTTTAATTATTCCAATTTCGTTTTCCCAAAGAAGTCTATTCGAAAATACTTTAATTATGACAATATCATCATTTCTAATATTTTTGCCGGTATAAATCTTATATTCTTCGTCATTATTGTTGTTGTTATTGTAATTATTTAGTAACACATTTCGTATAACATAATTATCTGAAATTATCCTTTGATTATTATTATTGTTATTGTTAGGCAGTAATGATGTTGATTTATTTACCAAATATTTATAGTTGTTGGCTTTGTTTTTATTATTAATATTTCTTATTCTATTAAATCGAATATCATTTTTTTTAATCTCATCATCATCATCAACATCATCAACATAATCATCATCAACATCAACATCATCATCATCATTATTAAAGGGAAGATTATTTTTACTGTTAAATGAAAAAATATTATGTATATTTGAAATCTTTTGTTGAATTCGTGTTGATGATTGTTGTGATGTTGATCTATTATCAAATGATGACAATAGCTGTATTTTTGATGAATTGCTAGTGAGACTATTATCATTAGAGGATGAGGAAAAAGAAGAAGCTGTTGAGTTTCTTGAAGATATTGACTGAGAAATTTTATTATAATTACTATTACTACTAGTATCATTGCTTGTATTTCTACTAGTAGTAATGGTATTAGTATTAGTATTAGTATTAGTATTAGTATTAGTATTAGTATTAGTATTAGTATTAGTATTAGTATTAGTATTTGATTCTAGTAAAGATGATGTTGCTGAAGTTTTAAGATGTTTGTCGAATGATGCTGATGTTGTTGATGATAATGGCGCAGATGATGCTTTGAATTGATTGTTAATTTTTTTTTGTAATGATGGAGATATTGGGATTGTAGCAGGTGGTAATAATTGAGTTAACTTGATAATTTTGTGAAAAGATAACCTAAATTCTATTTTAGAAGATACACTTTTGGCATTACGTATGGAAATTGGCCCAACTGATATATTAATTAAAGTTAATAAATATATATTAATATTAATTGAGTGAAAAGGTAAGGAAGTAAGAAAGTAAGGAATTATATAGAAACTTTAGAAATATTACTTTTTGTGAAACCTGTTTGTGACAAATCATCACAAAATTTTTTCTCGAGAGTGCTAGAGTATGAATTGAGCTTTAAACTAATATGCGGATGTGTATGACTTAACAACGATAGACGTTGTGTTATTGTTAAAATATTAGAGCTATGTTTTATTAGAAATGAAATTGGATATTTCCATTTAGTTGGTTTTACTGTTTTATAATGATCTTTGGTTGAATGGATTTCATCGTCAAACTTTATCTCTACACGGCCAGGAATTCCGCTTGAATCTTCACTGTATAATTACAATTATGATGAAGATGATTATTATGATATTATGATTAATATATCTTTGTATTATCTTGTATACATCATACGTACAATATCATTTCTTTTATTAGCATAATACCAGCCACATTTTTTTTAAGCTTTAGATCATTTAATATTTTTGATGAAGCTTTTGGATTTTCCTAAAGGTGAGAATTAGAAGATTGGTTTTTTCTAAGAAAGATAACAAAATAAAAACAAACTTACATTTAATATATAATAAACTTCAAAGTTAATTTCGTAATTGTGATCTTTTGATATCAATTTTACTATGATAAAATAAAACCATAAAAATTATCAATTAGTTATAGTATATCTATTTCTCCCTAGAAGTTAAAACAAAGGAAAATCTAATCAGTTATTTACTATACCTTTATTTTCATGAGGATCAAGTTTAATTAGATTTATTTTTATTTCAGTCAAGATTCCATCTCTTCCTTTAACTCTATTATCCCAACATCTAACAATTAATTCTGTGTCTTTAGGAATGTTTTTTGGTTTAGATAATTTTAGTAAAATATTCTCACTCCAATAAGCGGCTTTATCTGAATTTAATAGACTGATTGATGAATAATTGGTCGATCAATCGATTGATCAATTGATTGTAAATTTAAATATAGCAGAATAAAAAATCGAAAGGTTTACATTTTGAATGGAGGAGTGTAATTATTTTCATTATTGTATTCAAATTCCAATTGCAAATTAAGTACTTCATTGATATTGAATGCACTTTTAAATATTTCACTGATTTTTGTATGATTTTTTTCTTGTTTATGATCATGATTATAATTTTTTAATATACTTTTTGAATTTAGATTATCGTTTTTAAGGGCAATTTAATTTAATAAATAAATTAAGCAAAATAAAATAAAAACAAATAAAAACAAAAAGACACTTGAATTACCATCCAATTTTCTTTATTAAAATAAATCCAACATATTTATTAATATTAATGCTCTTGATGTTATTATTCATCGATGGATCCATTTTTAATTTTATGGAAAAAATAAAGAATTAAACTTTATATACATTTTTTTTTTTTCCTAAAGAATTACATTTTTTTTTCTAAATAAACTGATCAAATGAAGAAACAATCATTTTATTATTTGGTATATATAAGCACATGACTTATTACCATATTTAGTATAGTCGTACTCCATATAGGAACAATATCAAAAAACCTTCCTTCCTTCTATGTTGGTAACCAATCACTATTAATTAAAACTTCTAGAAAAATATTTTCATCCTCCCTATAATAATAAGAACTTTTATCAAAAGACTATTTTTTTTTTTTTAGAAAATGATACAGTCAAGCTTGAGTATAATCATCCTGTTATTATTCAATTTTTGTCTAGAAAATCCTGTTGAGATACAATTCAAATTACAAATACATTGATTCTTGTAATTAATCCATCAACAATATCAACAATAAATATAGTAGTGGTGTACCTATAACGTATCAGAACTGTGCGAAGCATCTAATATTAGAAAAACCATGTAAAAATTTGCTAAAAGGAATATTTAGTGTTACCTTTTTGAGAGATATTCTCATTTCACAAAAAATTACTTCTATAAAAGGACCATTGTATGTGACCGCCAAATTAAATAACAAATCATATTAATGCGAATCGATTTTCCGAACACATTTTAAAATTATTAATAATGCGAATCAAAATAGCCGAGGACATATGAAAT